AAGAACTATAGAGCAACAAAAAATAGCTTGTTTTAATAAAGAAAAAAAAATGCTTTTAATTATGAGTTAAATGAAACATTTTGAAAAGTAATGTTAGTTTTAATTTTTCTATGCTTTACACTGCTGTAGCTATCCACATCATTTTTATATGAAAGCTTTGCATGGCATTGGTTTCAAGCTGTGATAATAATATTTGTAGTTACCTCATATTTTTTCATTCTGGAACAGTTTTTTTAATAGCAGTTGAGTGATGCGTCTTAACACATGCAATGAATTGATTTCTTAGAAAATAAATCTTATTTCTGAAGTTAATGTGAGTTTCCTTTACTTTGTAACCAGAATTATTTTATGTTTTGGATCTTTACTGTCGCTTTCCCCATCCGTTTTTTTCCACCACAATGCAAATGAGGTTTTCAGTTTGTAAAACGAAGCGTGTTTTGCCTTTTGAGGCTATGCTACTGGTTGCTTTCAGTCTTGCATTATAATTGCCGATAATTGAATTCCACACCGCTTATGTTTTGAGCCAACTTTGCATTAAACAGATTTGTGTAGCCTTTGGCTACTAGTTTATTTGAATTTAAATTTTACATTTGAACCTAATTGTTATTATAAGTTATCTTGCCACAAGTGGCTGGCTGAGTCATAAGCACAAAGTGTGCCTTCTGTTCTTATTTAGTAGTTTTATAAAAGGATCTTTTACACTCTTCTCATTTGTTAAAGGATCATTTACATTCTTCATTTGTTACTTTAGACATCGCAATAATTTGCTTAATGTCTAACATTTAGTTACACTATATGATTGCAAAGAATATATCTAAACTTTATTACAATTATATTTAAAGACATTGAAATCAGTATTTAAATACTTGACATGTAGTCAGATTTTCATATATAAAAATTGTACTCTTACTTTTATTACAAAAAATTTAGATCTCTATTAGATTAAATGTCTAAGTAATGTACAAAATTTGAACTGTAAATTATGAGCAGTATATTCCATAATATAGGCAACATTATATTTTTTATAGTCAGACAAATTATAAAACTGTTATCAAAGCCGTAATGAAAACCTGATTTTGCTCTATGAATTCACACAATAACACATCCCTATAGTTCTAATTTAAAAAATGAAGCAAAAAAGTATTTTTAGACCATGGTAATTAGACCATGATCATGGCCCATTTTAAGAAACATGTAAGAAGTCTAAATTTGTAAGTGGTTCCTTAACAAAGAAAAAAATCTCAAAATCATTTTTTTTGGGGGGGGGATTATAATATGCAGAATTAACATTTAGAAAAGTGTCAAGAATGACCATAACAATTTGATATTTAGAAAAGTGTGTAATATTAAAAGCATCAGTCTTGACTATCAAATTTTACCTTTTTAAAAAATATTTAAAAGTTTTGTTTTTATAATGTTCTTTCCTAGGTAACTTTATTAAAAAAACTTGCAATTTATCCCTCCCGCCATCAAAGCTCCAATACCTATCAAATTCTCAGACAGAAATGGCGGCATGTGTTTTAGGGGTCTCATCACTTTTGCGCAACACAAAAATTGAAAATTTTGGCTAAATTTTCGAGTTTTAATAAGTCAAATTATTATGGTCATAGATATATGAAATTTTCAGTGTGTTATCTCTATACATATATGATTACCGTCCTTGATTTATTTTACTAATAGTGTATAAGAATTTGTTTTATAAAGAAAAAACAAACTGTATTTTTCAAAAATAAAAACAAATTGTACTTCAGTACAAATTTTTTAAAATTTTTGCGTGCAAACTGACAGTAATACAAATTTAGTTACAGTAATAATTTTTACAATTTTGTGATGGAACATCATTAGGTATGATTCTTCACCTATTTAAATTTTAAAATATCAAAGAATATTAACACCATTAGAATAAGATCTTAGAAAACAGAAAAAGCATTAAAAGAATTTTAAGTAAAGTTATATAAATACTTAAAAGATAATTTTTCGAAGAAAACGGTAGGTGCATTTTTTCTGCAATATCATCATGTAAGTACCCTGAAATTTTTAAATCAATAGCTATGATATATTTTTTTAAACAGTGCGCACAAGTATGAAAATCACCATTTTGAGAAAAATTAAGTTCAAAATTAAAAAGGTTCAAAATTTTCAATATATTTTCCCTCAAATAACACTAAAACACTTTAAAACTGCCCAGCTGCATACACCATACCCTCCTGTTCTTCAATAGCTGTTATTGCAACAAGTTTGGCTCTTTTTCTTGCACTGCGAGCATCTATTGTCAGACATCACTGCCTTATTTCGGCTGACCGAATACGACGATGATCAGTGTCTGCTGCAAACTTGATTGCATTATCATCAATTCGGTATTTAAGTTCTTTCATAGTATGTAATTGCCCAGCTTGACCATCGTTATATATAATACCTGCCTCATTCACTGCTGTCTTAACAATATTATAATCACACCCGGAATTTTGAGGAAACAATTTCCAAATCAAAGCATTCAACGATTCATTTGAGTTCTGTGTATGTCCTCCTAAACACTTTTTTAGTAATAATGGCATGCTAATATATTTAAATATATCTTTGATAGCATCCATTACAGAGGTGGAATTGAATTTTTATGCTTGTACGATTTCAGATTTCCACTTGCACTCGCTGTTTGGTATGTACACTACGAATCCTCCCCTGTTGGGCAAAAATTATGAGTGGGTTCCACGTTGATTAAACATTTGTGGCAAAATATTGCCCATACTGCTTTCTGCATATCTTTTACAGAACTGCAATGTTTTCTAGTAGCATTTCCATAATAAATTGTCAATTGATTTATATCATCTGTAAGGCGGCCTTTTTCACTAAGAGTTTTACTGTCACTAAGTTTCTTCCCCTTCATTTCTTACTTTCTCTTTAGTAATTTAGTGGCCATTCTTTTCTGAATGTGTCCGACACATTCAATTTTACCAAAATACATGATGTTAACAGTAAAAATTAAAGCATCTAGGAGTGAACACATTCGTAAGCAGCTGCACGTACAATTGTAAACAAATGTAAGGTGATGATTTTAAATGCCCAATCTGGCAATTTTTATCTCAGAACGTTTCCTTTATTTCAATATTTTTAAGGTTCTAATTCGAATATCGTAATGCCGTTTGTTTTAACAGATTCAGAAATGTTTGCAGTTTCTAAATATGAAGAAAAAAAAAAAAGAAAAAAAAAAAAAAGATTTTTTGATTGTGTAAAGGTGATGACTCCCCTTTACCTTAATATTCAGGGTTACCATCAATAAATGGGTTATCCTAATTTTTTATTTATCGCTCCCAAAAATCGCCAAAAAGAACTAATATTAAAGCTGTGTGAGGTATAGTGATAGCAGATATGTCACAGTATTCAGGAACTCTTTTTTTTTTACCCATAACAGAATGCGATTTTGTTCATAATCTGGAATGCATAAATATTGGCATATAATGCACTGAAAATAAAGTAAGCATACAGCCACTTAAATTTTCAGCTTCCCACGGGCAAACGAGAGTAACATAAATAAAAATATTGTTCCTTCTGTTTTAAAGCGTTCTTGTTTTGAATGTTAATTTACATAACTACATGAACTTATTCACCAAATAAAACTATTTAAAAAATCAGGTAAATTGTTAATAATATTTTTCTGCTAATTATAATACGGGTTTTCTTTTTTACTGCTATCTGTTTAACCGTGGACCTCATGGTAATACACCTGTAAATAGAAAAATGCTATAACACTGTTAACATTTCTTTTTGTTAAAGAAATCTCTCTTCAGTGTGCTTTTTTTAATTCTGCTCGTCTTCTATTCGACCGTCTACTGTAGAAGACAAAGCTCGTTTTTCAGCAGGAGTAACTCCTGTTTGATGCGCATTTATAACAAAAGAAAAATAATCTCTTTTTATATTTTATAGGCTTTTTTTTTTAACCTTTGAACAAATAACTTTTTCTTTTCTATGTCACAATGTTAAAGCATTAAAAGCACGAAACAAATACAGAAATGAAAGTTATTAACTAACGCTAGTTGAACTCCAAACTGTCACATAAAAAACAAATAATAGTAAAGCGAGCAAGTTGAGAAGCCGACATCCTTCTTGATTTACTCCTGATAAAAACATATCAGACATCTTCTTCTCGAACGCACGAAAATATACTCATTGCCATATAAATTTGCGCACCAAGAAAGAGTTGTCAGAATGAAACAAAATTTGACATATATAAGTACTACATTGATATAAGTAAGTGCTCAAAAAATCAAAGAGAAAAGGATCATTTCTGGCAGAAAAAGTACACATGTTTTAGTTCTCTGTTGGACCACCTTTAGCGCGAAAAATTAGAAGAAAAGGGGATGATTATGCAAATAAATACGGTATTTTTGATATATATACTATTAAGCATCGTATGTTAAATAAACTGATATCTTTTAACTGTAAATACACTTAACTTAAATGTGATAAGTAACCTCAAAATTTTATGAAATGTAGTATATCACAAAACCCTTGCAAAATATTATGAAATATAGGACCAGTTTTCACTTAATCCATCCGAAACCAATTGCTTACATTACGTGTGTACAAACTACTAGTACTTAATACAGCATTTTCGTTAGTTAGGAAGCTTACCTTTATATAAAAAAGAGGTAAATGTGATAACTACTTTTAATTCCTTTGAAAACTTACAAAAATTTAAAAGCATAGGGAATCATTAAAAATATTTAAAGGAGAATTTCGTAATGTTACATTCATTTGATAGACGTATGATTACCATTAAAATCCGCAGTTAAATACTAACATATATTAATATTAATTTTGCTATTTTGAAATTAAAATTTCACGGCACTAAATTCATCGCTTTGTCTCTCTTAATTAACGTACAATATTTGCGACTGAATTCTGTAGTAAAACAAATATCAACTTAAAATTACGGAAAATTCAACCATAGATTAAACGTTGGCTTTTGTGGGTAAGGTGATTAAGTCTGCTTTTTTTTTTAGGATTTCGCTTCTTCAAAAGTAACCAGAATTTTCCTGCGCAACCAATTGAGTCTACGATGTTAAGCCTTCTCAGGAGTGGAAATATTTTCCCATAAAATCAATCTCATCTGTGGACAAATTTTCCCTGACATTAAATTTCAACATTATCACAGGTCATACCCAATTTTTTTTTCCAAGTTAAAAATGTTACAAGAGTTTCAGCAACTGTAAAATATTCTGTCAGAATTATGGCATATTGGATAAAAGCTTATTGAATGCAGTACGTTTCTCTTCTTCTCCCTCAATTTTCACCCCCCCCGAAGGAGCGGGGTATCTGACGTTTTGTTTTCATTAAAAGAAATTTTCTATAAATCCTTTATTCTATTTCTACATCCTTAGCGTTTGAATAAAAACAGGTTTCCTAAAACTTCAGTTTATTATTAGATTTATGGCATTCATTAAAAAGCAAAGAAACCTAAACCATTTTATAACAACATATTATACATATATATGCGACATTTTTATAACTGCTATTCAAGCAACATGTCCAGTGGCTGAAGAACTTTGGAATACGTTATAATGTTAGGTTAAAAAAACCTTTGAAAAACAGTAGATTGTTGATTATATTTTACTTTAAAAAAACTTTTTTGTTTTTTATATATTTATTAAATAAACATGTTATCTTCGATATCAAAATTAAATAAAATCCACCTGAGACTGGTATAAATTTTAGACAATTTTTTCCTGAATTTAAGCAGCCTGAAGCTTAAAATTAATTTAGATCCATTCACTTGTCATTGTCATTGCGAGCGAAGGCGAGACTTACTTACGTCTCTACAGTCAGGCATCTCAGAATGTTATAATTAATAACAAAATCTCAAATTTGAGTCTTCAAACCTAATGTTACCGGCTTGAAATGTAATACTGGCGTATATTACCATTCCGGTTCAGACGTACATCCAAGGTTGGCAAATACGTTACTCAGATGAAACCGAGTTGCCTTGCCATTATTAGCTATGTGAAACTTACTCTGAAATTTTAACAGTAAAGTTCATATAAATAATTTGCAAAGGCCTTTGAAATGCAGATTTTCTGTTACCAGTCACTAAAGTTTTTAAATGAACTTATTTATCAAATTCATATTATTTCCTTAACGAACTCAAGCGTCACATCTGACAAAATATGGTTCAATACTCTGATATATGCTTTACGCAAAGCATACTTATCTGCGTAGCACTTAATACAGGTTTTATGAATTTATAGCCATGACAATAAGACGTAATTTTTTCGTAGTACTGAATACAGGTTTAATGAATTTATAGCCAAGATAATAAGACGTAATTTTTTCGTAGTACTAAATACAGGCTTAATGAATTTATAGCCATGACAATGAGACATAATATTATATAAGAACTTTTAAGATGGTTATTTTTAAATACTCCCCTAAGAAACGATGTGAAATTATTCTTTTCTTGTGAAATATCAAAACTGAACTTACCTTTTTAGACAAAACAAACTTACCTTCATTTGTAAGCCTCACGATGACTTGCTTGATCCATTCACTGGTTGGGGGGGGGAGAGAAGAATAAGTAAATACATGTTCATACATAAAAATAATAACAGTTTATTTTTTACCCATAAATTATAGACTGTATTAAAAGGATATTATAAATGGTGATAAGAGGCAAGAACTTATCTTTTTAGACATAACAAACTTACCTTCATTTGTAAGCCTCACGATGACTTACTTGATCCATTCACTGGTTGGGGGGGGCAGAGAAAAATAAGTAAATACATGTTCATCATAAAAATAATAACAGTTTATTTTTTCATTTTTTTTTCCATTCAGATAAATTATTTACAACAGTTCAAGCTTACATTTATTATCCATCGCGAAGTATCGGAAAATATTTTTATCACTTTTTCGACTGACTTCATTTGCACATATTTATTTATCAATAATAACATTAATGTAAACTGTTACTGTAATGATCCGAATCTAACACAATTTTCTCCCCTCCTCTAAACTGCCTATTTGAATACTCGACATGCTTTAAGTGAGCGGCCTAATGTTTAAAAAATATAAAAAGGTAATTCATCCCTTGTGACTGACTGACTGATATGGTATTGTCGGAATACCAATGGCACATCACATGGTCTGCACATAGCATCCCAGAGGGAACGGACGAGGTTAGTCACCTATTGTCTCTTAAATGTTACTTTAGAAGAATTGTTTTATACATATATTTACTTAGTCTTATCTCAAAGTATGATATTATTTAATAATCATTTTTGTTAAATACATTTTTATACCAAGCATATATATGTGAAACCTTTATTTGAGTAACTTCTGCTATTAGCTGCACCTCTTTTTATTTTTTTAATATTTTCTGCATGAATATGGTACATTCAATAGCAATATCAGAAGAAAATAGGGATGGTTTATATGTTAAAAAATAAACCTGTGTTTATACAGATATACGCTTTGTAGGAAGGTATAGCTACGAAGATTATATTAATTATTATTATAGTATTTCTACGCTACATAGGAAAGAAAAGGCTCATTTGTTTTTTTTACTTAAAAGAAATTAGGCAAATATGATAGAAAATGAAGTTTTACGGAATAAATGCTAAGAGTTTCGATAAAGAACTTAGAATCCAGATCGTTGCTGTGCAATCGCTTATGACTAGTTATTGGGCAGTTTACCAGATTTGCCAAATTGCCATTACAGATTAATATCGCAGCACCATATTGCGACTGCGACGTTGAACGTAAGGTGAAAAACATTTTCCATCCAGGAAAAAAGTCGAACAGGATCACAGATTATGTAACGCATTTTATGTTTTGCACAACTTTAATGTTTATGTACCCAAGTTGGGAGAAAAATCTATACAGATCGAAACCTATGCGATAATCAGGTTTTGATAAATGGACATTTTATCAAGTACTGTCTTGAACATCAACGGGAGGAATGTAAATTTACTTGCTGGAAGCATACAGATAATAATTTTTAATAAGTACATTTGCTGAGATGTTGCTTTGCCGAGAGAAAGATGTAACCCAAGATTTTGCAGAATAGTTTTTTCCTTTTTAATATAGACGGCAAGGCTGCATTTGTTGACTGTACAATTTTATGCGCTAATTTTATTTACAGCTTTGTCAACTTACGCATGTATACCTAATAAAAACATCAAATAATTGTTACATAAACCTTATTAGTAAAAATATCAAATAACCATTATAAGTAATTTAATAAGACTGCGAGTAGGGAATGATGCACTTATTTTCAATTTTGACAGCAAGTGTAATCTCAGTTCACTAACTACCTAAAACTTACAATCAGTATGATCCATTACCAAACGGTTATTTGTATCTTTAATTAAAACATTTAATGAAGATAAAAACTAGAAAAAAAGAAGCCGCAATTGTCGAAACGCCCCTTTTCTTTTATTTCACTTTTAAAAGCTTTTTATAGTTGTCAACTCTCTCGTCTCACGGTAAGTCACCTAATCAGGCTTTTTTTTTATTGTTAACGTTTACAATGAAAAAGTACCAAGGAAAATGTTTCCCAGTAGTAAATAACATTTACCGAATTAAAATTGGGCAATTAACAGTCTCATATCCCTCGAGATTTTCAGTATATTTTTGTTAAATCTCATTTGAACTGAGTTGTTAATGTTCTATATGCATTTCTAAAACGTTTTTATGAAATTATGAATATTTCATCCTTTTGCCCCTAATCATTTTCAGCGCAGTTTTTCTTATTAAACTTTATCTGACCTAAATTGGTCTAATCTGCTGTGAATGTTTACAGAACATTTTATGAAGGTTTAGCCAATATTTGCTCATACTCAGTTAATTTTCGCATTTAATTTTGCTTTGCATCAATAAACAATGCGTTACTAAATTTATATACTAAGTGCAGATAATATTGTTTTTTTCCAAAATGCTTGGATAAATTAAGTTTTACCCTACTTCAGATTCCCTCAGGATAAAAATGTAAGGAAATTACAAAATCGAATTATACATAGGACATAAAATTTTAAATATTTTATTTCAAAATCATATTATAATAATAGCGCTTCTTCGCAGCAGTAAGAACTTGCGCCATATTTCAAGATTGGCAATAATCAGCAATGCAGCCACAACTATTTTATTCTCTAAATGGAGTATTCTAATTTTCTCCAATACAATGTTTGTCATTAAAATTATGATTGAATTTGACATTAGCATGACCAACATCAATATAAGGTTTTTATCTAATTTTGAAGAAAATAAAATTGTTTACCTGTTTTGAATTTAATTAACAGTACTGTCCTTAATATTGGTCACTAGAATCGTTAACTAACCTTTTCCCGTGAGCTATAGGGACCAACTTTTTAAGTAGGACTATTTAATCAGCTACCTTTGCAGGAAATAGCGTAAAAACACATCAACACAAGTCTTTCACTTGATGCACCATATTAAAGAATAAATTTTAAATCTCCGTAATTTACTGAAATTTCTTGAGATGCATTTAAAGTGCGGGACATACATGTCCCAGCCTTGTGGAAAAGTTAATCGCTAACTAGACTAATCGCTAAAGGTTAATCAAGCGTTAGGCCTAATTTTCTGGGAAATACCCAGCTAGCGTGATGAGTCTGGGAGTGGCTGGTGATTAAAATGACTATGGCGCTTTGTCGCTGGTACACTATCAATGTCCATTTCTTGACTACAGCTGCTTAAATTAGAATACATAAATTTTAAAAAATGGGAGTTTTTAAGAATAATTGGAGGTAATAAGTATTTTTAGCATTAGATTTGTTATATATTGGAAGACAGTAAAGAACTATTTTACTTACCTGTATTCCCAAATGATTTGATGTAAAATACCCGGCCTTTCAACATGTACAACGGCTTCGGAGATTGATCTAACTTCCGGTGGTTGTTCATTGGTTCCGGTGATTTTTCATTTGTGGTTTCTCATTGGACAGTAATAAAAATAATTTAAAAAACATAAACAACGAATTTCAATGAGCTTGGATGGCGCTAAAAGAGCGCTTCGCACTCTGAAACTATGAAAAAGCATAAGATTTCGTTCAGATGGTGCGGCGATTTTTCGCCTTATCCACCTAATAACCATCGCCTTCGGGCACTTTTCTCAATAGACGCAGTCAAAGCACTCTATCTGCTAATGCTGCGAATGCCAAGAACCGATTTGATTTGAGAAATGGATGTCCCTGTTGAGGCCAAAGCTCAGCAAATTTAAGTTAGGCTTAGGTAAAATTTCTTTTCAAAAATTACTAAAAGCGTTATAACTAAATGTTTAAGATCGTCGGTGTAATTAATGCAAATTCAGTAATAATATATATTACTTGTACTATATTAAGACCACGACTTCTTGGGCATAGACATGTGTTTCTCAAAACCTTGTAACTAAAACACCGAAATAAACGCTTATTAATAAAGAAATTTCCAGAACAGGTTTAAAAATCAGTTACATAGCGACTCCATACCCGATATTTTTGTCATTAATTTATGGTACTTACAGCCCTTTGTAAATAATATGATCTCTTGACAATTAGCACCTAAATAAGTGAAATTATTAATTTGTGCAACCATACATAATGTCTATAATTCAGTTGCATGTGCAATGAAACCTTTCATCGTGACGATCTCTTTAAACCCTATTTAAACAATGCACAAAATCTTCTGTAAAAGCTGTTCTTGATATAGTATACAAAGTTGACTATTACATGGTTGGTTTTCCAGAGTGGTCGAGATGGACATTTTGAACAGATGCTATTCATTACCGTAATTTATATTCTCAAAAATACTGGTCACTTTCATAGATGATGGGTTTAAAAAGGTTTCTTTTCAGATAATACTAAAAGTATGTTTTCAGAAATTACTAAAAATATTATAACTAAATTTTTTAACTCTTCGATGTGATTAATGCACAGTAATATTTTTTATTATTTATATTATTAAGATCATTGCTTATTTGATGCAGATATGCATTTCTTAAAACCATATAACTAAAAAACCGAGATAAACACTTATGATTGATATCCTTTCCAGAACAGGTTTAAAATGCAGTTACATAGCTACTGCGGACACTATATTTTCGACTTTAATTTATGTTACTTGAAGCCTTTTGCAAATAATGCAGATAATCAGCATACAAAATTAAATTATTAATTTACATAGCCATACGTAATATATACAATTGCTTATGCAGGGAAACCTCTTCTCGCGAACATTTCACTAAGCCGAAAAATGATCGCTGAGTCAAAATAATCGAACTGGCTCACTTTGTCAAGAACCTGCACGAAGCCGCCCAACCGGTATCCTGGTTAGCGTCGCTGACTGCCGTGCCGAAGAGCCCGCTTCGAATCCCGGAAAAAGCATAGATGTTTGTAAATGTGTAGTGTCGGTGCGGCATGGCGGCACCCTAAATATGCGGCGAGCCGAAAGTCCTCTTGTGGTTTGGTGGAAGGGGAAAGGGGTGGGAAACCCTCGGACCCGTCCCCCCTCCATCAATTTTTCTTTTTCTACACGAGATTGCTGA